CAAAATGTCTATCTTCTTTGAGCATGCAAAAATTTTCTTGATCGCGCAACGTGAACAAGTAAAACGTAAATTAATTCACGCATATACAGGACATATACGTTATATGAAATTCATAAAATATTTATAGATGACGTACAAAAATGTCGATTATAATCTGTTCTTGCCTCGTGCTTCGAACTTAAACCAACTTAATAAATAAGTTCTGATCGACTTTTGTTTCAGCCTCTATCGACCCTCCAAACATAATTCCACGAATACATTGCCATCTAATCGTGTTGCACCAATTAATTTCTCATCCGAGCCGCCATTCCTTCGAGAATATCGACGAGAGATCAAAAAAGTTAGTTCGAAAAGTTTTTTGGAAGTTTTTTGAAAATGGATCCCTTTCTCACTTCTTCCATCGTTCGTAAATACATTAGCGCGTGGGATTATTCGCAACGAGTGCAGGTGAACCAGAAGTTACGTATCGCAAAACTGTGAAAGTTGGATGGACTCGTACGTTAGAGAGGCGGTTGTTTTGGTCGAATGGAAATTGGATTCCGGGCGGCGAGGTGTCGAAGGAGGGGATGAAAAATTTGGATTAGATAAGAAGCGTACGCGGGGGTGGTTGTAGATGGAATGTAATATCGTTGGAAAGTAGATCGAAGTTGGGCGTGAAATGGTGCAGGGAACGGCTGCGGTGTGAGATTTGTTGCGAAATCGTGCAGACGTCTCTCTGAAATATATGCGTTTCAGATTGATGCACACACAGCATTTAGATGATAATTAATTAAAACAATCTTTATCGATCTACCATTAGAAAATTAAAAAAATAAAGTGTATGCATTAAAAGAAACAAAGAAAAAGATAAAATTCGAATCATGAAAAAGGATGGAGCGAATAATCTAAGACATATATTTCTCGTTCGAATGGAACACGAGCGAGTCATTATCGAGGAAACCATGACGAGGATTCTAATTATCAGCAAAATTATTCGGCGTGGAGGAATCTATCGTTTCCATTATCCCCATGCTCGATTAAATTCGAAGACAATGATCGACTCAGCATAACGTGGCTGCTCGCTTTTACTCGTTGAATTCGGGAAAAAGAGAGAGCGCAATAATCGAAATTCGCATTTCGCATGCGAGAATCGATGGTTCCAATTTCTGGCCGGGTGCACGTAGAAGATGTGTTGTTGATGGAATATAAACCAGAGACCGTCAGTCAGATATAGAAAACTAAATCTAAATCCCTTTGGAAGATCGTTCGTGTTGAACGTGTGTCGAGGATCGATGCATCACGGGGACGAAAACGTGACACGTGTTTACCTTAGAATTAGCTGTTTAACGCGGTCATTTTTATTGAAAAAGAAGATTTTTCCGAGTGGACGATGAGAATTTATCGAGAAAAATAATGATAAAAAATAATGATGAACTTGAAAAATATTCTCAGAAATCTTACTGTCTTCTATGAAGAAAATTTTTGAACGAGATGGATGAGAGTTTATCAAGAGAATTATATTATGGGGGAAGGAAAAAAATTTTCGTCTTCCACGAAAGGGGAAATTTTTATAAAATTTGAGAAGTGAAGGAATTAAGGAAACGGAGAATTACGTGACGACTTAACAAAGCGAAGAAAGTTTCAATGTCCTCCTGAATTTTGAACAGTGGACCGTTCATAACGAGGAACGGAATTTGAATAACAGAAACAGATGAGGTATGAATTATATTTAAATCGGTTTCATCTTTACGAAGAAGGATAATACCTCCATTCGAATTCAAATTTATTCGAGAAGGGAAGCTTACAGTTTTTCATTTCCACTTGTTTTCAACCCTGTTTTCTCAAATCAGATTGTTTCGATTTGTGGGCTGCTCCACAAATTCTCAATCAAGAGAGATCGCAAAAAAATAAATTTTTCCCACTCGAATAATTCGAAGAAAATGGGAAGAAAAAAAAAAAATTACGATCCAACTATGGTAAAATTATCTTTCTATCGATTCCAAGAGCATCACAATCGGAAAAAGTGTACATTTATATACGATTATATACGATTATTACCCTACCGAATATTTTCCTTGCCACGATCGAGCTATCGTCGTACGAGGAATATATTTTCCTCGCGCACTCTACTCGTCCCCCCTCCACATTTGCCTGCATCATGGTAACACCATCGTGACGGTGTTGTAACACCGTTATTTTACTATTCTACGCGAGGCGGCGGTGGACGTGTTTGCCGCAACTTTGGAACACGTTTCCGCTCGGCTTTCTCGCGTGAACGCTCTTAAAATGCATCCACGATGGAGCAATCTCGCGTGCTTTTTATTCCAGATGGATTTTTCTTTGACGTCCACTGCCTGCCCCTATTTTTTCGTGTATTAATGCGTACAATTATCCAGTTTATGTTAATTGGTTTTAATCTCGTATGCATTTATATATTTTATTTATTTATTTTTAAATAATTTGGCTATATTAAAATATGAAATAACGCGAGAGATTAATTACATTATAATACGGGTTGAAATGTACGCGTTATTTTTTATCAAGCTTGTGTCAATTTATTCGAGATATCCAGACAAGAATTTTAACGTTCGATTGATATATCAGATGCGACACACGAAATTCACAATGCATCGCGTGTATATATATATATATATATAAAATGCCCAAGAGACATATGCTAGAAATCTGAAGATGACAACCATAAGGTCGAAGGATCAAATTTCCAATATAAAAATGTTACGTGATATTTGGGAATTCTGTACATGACATTCCGCATATCTGTACAATATATGTAATAGATTTCTCAAAATTTCGTATTATTAAGCATATACGAGCGAGATACAAAAGAGATACAATATAAAATATACTTTTTCACTATTCTATCGAAATATCACGAGTTTCCACAGCTGTCGAATCTTGTGGATTCGCATCAAACGGATATCCAACGTTGCTCTTTCGCTTAGAAGTGGATCAGGAAGGGGAAAGTATTACCTGCATTGCCTACATTCAATCTTCCCACAACTGCAAACACAGCCGGCTCTCCAACAACATACGCATTCCTTCCAAATCGCGAACAAAATCGATCCCCTGATGGGATACTATATCCCTAACCAACTCGAGATAACCATTATCATCTTCCACCCCTTCTCGTCAAACACCCAATACTAAAAAAAAAAACATGTGAAACGCGATCGAACCACTTTTAAAATTAGATTTAAAAAATGGCGGATGCGCGCCATCCACCGAACATGTCAATTTATATCGCGATACATTCGCACGGATGATCAGATAGGGTGGAACCGATCCGAGAAAGAACAATTGGAGGATGGAATTCAGAGTGCATCGAGGCGAACGGATAGACAAATAAACATTGGACGGTCACGTTTCATCGTGATGCATCCTCGATACTACTGCGTATCGAAAACATTATATGTATATATATATATACATGGGGTGTGCACGTGCACGGCTGCATGCTTGGAATTCAAAGGGGGCGAAAGGAATCGATCAGCAGCTCGCGACTGGAAAGAGACGTTAGAGTGTGGGGGGGAGGAGAATGGAATCGAAATGAGAAACAGAAGGAGGACGAAAATGGGGGGGAGGGAGATGGAGAAAGATTGGAAAGTATGAGACAAAGCGATGGTGGTGGAGATAAACAAGTCGTTGAAAACCGATTATCCTGTCCTCCTGATGCTGATACCGATCGGGACGAGAAAAGGGGGAGCAAGGAGGAGGCTGCATTTTCATTATATTTTAATAAACGGTAAAAAGAATTAAAAGTCGACACGAGATTTCTTCCGCCATTTTTTTCCTTTCGTACGCGTGTTAAATTGTACATTGAGGGGCGAGGGAAGGAAATTTCGAGGAAATTTAACGCTTCGGCAAGAGAAGCTTCGAGATGCGAATTTTTCTTAAATTTCTTATCGTGCTGGGATACGTCATCGAACGACTCGAAGCTAATCAACAATAATAATCTTCGTGAAGAGAAAAAAGAAGAAATCGAACTTTTCGCTTTTCGAAATTAATATAAGATTATTATACACGTTGGATAGATCAGTATTAATATCAAGAATCTTAGTTCTCCTCTCTGGAGAGGACAAGTTAAATACGCGTTCAACTACGCAAGAGAATAGAGGCGAAAAACAATTCGACCTATGAAGAGGCCTACATTGATCCAAAAAAGCGAGTAAAATACGAGCCCATATAAATATGGCCCAAGCTGCACACGACGATCGTTCTCGATAGACAAGCATCGGGCGGATTAGCAGCGTTTACGGGGGAGGGGGAGTGGCGAATCGATAACTCCACCCCCCCACGAAGGGGGGGGGGGCAAACACGCGTGTGCGTATGGGCGCGTGACGATTCAAACAGGTCCCGAAAATCCAGTCGACACCGCTATGTATTACACAGGGTGGAACGTGTTATCCGGCTTAGCCGTGCAAACAGCTGCGGGGATGGTCGCGTTGCCAACATAACCTGAATGCAATATCCGAGATCCTTCGATATTCTTGACTCGCCATCGAGCGAAAATAAACGTGTTGGAAAGAAATTTAATTCTTTTTTCTCGGTATGTAATTAATATTTTCAGATCGGATATGGAATTTTTTGTATTTTGAAATTTTTCGTATTAAGCGCGGTGTGTGTAGTTTCATGAACGTATTCATGATTCGAAATCTCTATCTACCTCTCAACGAATAATTCGAATAATTCTAGAAGAGGTTGACACGAGCTTTACTTTCGATGAATCACACTTGAATACCACCGGTATCCACCGCATCTTAACCAAAGGGGGAGAAAAGTGACCGCAGGAATTTGGCGTTGCTGGTGGAAGAAAAATAAGATCGGGCCAACTAACAAACCAATTACCATGGTGCATGGACCGTGTTTTGATCCGTGAACGTTCGTTCTTCCCCATCTTCTCTCGGATTGCATGCGGGCTTGTGCATTTGATATAGATGTAGGATGCGGGAGGGATCGATCGATCGATCGCTGACGAGGAGGATCTCTGCCTCTGTTCACAGGATCTAACGTACGCGGAGGGTGGCCACAACTGGCGAAGCATAATCTTCTCGCTTTTGGTCATCGGATTCGTTATCGCCGGGATCGTCACGGCCATTTACCTCCTCGGGTGAGTATCCTTTTCCTCCCCCTTTTCCTCTTCTCCACCCTATTATTAGATCTCCTTTCTACGGTATTTCCGCGGGAAATGCAGCCCAACAGTCGGGTATAGAGGTTTTATCCAGACTCGTGAAATTATTAATCCTGCCGATTCGATTCACGTTTTCTTCGAGAGAATTCTTTCTTTGTATTAACGAGCAATAATTACGAAGGGAGATTGGGTTTATCGACGTGAAAATATCACCGGGAGATTTCATGGGAGGAACTTTTTTAAGGGGTGAACTTATTATTATTATTTTCTTTTTCTTTTTATTCATTATCTCTAACGAAGTAGCAAGTTTTAATTTTAATCTTAATTTTGATTCGTTCGAAATTATTTCACGAGAAAAAATTGAAATGAAAGAAACATCGATTTTTAATTGGTCACTTTGAAGAAAAGAGAATAGAAATATGATACGTCGGGAGCTAATTACGAGCATCGGGATACCGGATGCTCAAACTCACTGTTATGGATCAACTACGCGTGGATAAAAAATGTTCACGGCAAAGTTATTATTTCGTTTATTAGGGAGAAGAGAGTTCCTTTCCGCGTTTCATATTTACCCCGTAACGAGGTTTTTTTTACACGGTCTAAAAGAGAACTAATCAGGGTGCCTTGGAACAGGTTCAAACATCGAGTTTATTCAAAGAACCGGCTCGACTTTCACTTTTTACCTCCTTGCTCATTTCCTTCTTTTTTTTTTTTTTGCGAGAAAATCCTTCCCCGGGACGTCCAGCCTTCGTTCGTGCCAGAAAATCCCCGTTTTATCATCCTTAAAGCCACGAGAACATCCCTTCGCTTTCTGTAACATTAACCCCCACCGCTCTTTCTCTCGATCCCTGAACACCGCCATCTAGCGCCGCAAACACGGAAGTTTAGCCCGAGAATTTTAAAGAGCATCGATGTGACTTAAAGCCGCTAATCTTATAAAATTTCGTTATTTCTCTCGAAGAATCGTATTTTTCTTTTTCAAAATATTCAACGTTGCGTTGCAAAATTTTGGAATTTTATCGAAACTTTCGTGTAAATATTTCTTTAATTCAATCGGAACGTTGCCACGTTGAAATAATGAGGATTCAACGCGAATACAAAATTCCAAAGTTTTGAGGAAATAAAATTTTCTATGAAACTATTTTTCCATCGCTCGATATTATATTTATGGAGGAAAATCAATAACAAGACTTGCTACAATTACATTGTAAAGAGGATTAATAAAAATTGGAAATTTAATAAAAACAATCGATAATATCAGAAATCGGATATTCGACGCATATTGCGAAATTCCTCTTAAGAAACTTTAGTCGATCGAAATTTCTATACGATATAAGATAATTGGAATTTTAAAGAATTATCCGAATATTTAATAATAACCAAAGTTTCGAGGGGTTTGATAAAAACTTCTTTCCGGTTGAAAATGCGGTTTTCCAACTTAACTTTCTATATTATTTACTCGGATAGCAAGTGATCGAATATTGAACGAATCGATATTCCAGCAGGAGCTATTATCAAATTAGAGGTACGAAACTTTTCAGGTACGTGGACGAGCTGTTGTACTGGAGCGGCAGACGGCTCACGTTAGACGAGTGCCTTCGTGATGATCTGACGCCGCACAGGTTAACACCGACCTGGATAACCCACGACAAGTTTGTCTACCAGGCCGACGACGGTTCCCTCACACTCCTGGACACAAGCAACAATTCCGTGTCCCTTCTTGTCTCTAATCACACGCTCGTACGTATCACGCGACGCGGAATAACATTCACCAGGGGGGAATATTGGGGGGAGGTTAAACTTTGAATCGAGTTTAGAGTGCACTCTGTTAAATTAGAGTGCACGAAGGATTTTATTTTAACGCATTCGAGTGACGCGTTAGTGTGGTTTTCTCTCTCTCTCTTTCTCTCTCTGTAAAGATGAGTCGCGAGACAAGATTTTTTTATATTCCGTTTTCTGCTTTGTGACTCGTTCATAATTTATTTTTATCTCGAATATTTCGCAAGAATCGTGAACGTGTTGAATATTTTAGATTACGTGAAATTAGATTATGAAATGTTATTAAAGGAATATTTCGTATAATATTTCACGAAGTTCGAGTCGAAAAAATAGTTAAAAATAAGAGAGAATCGATTCAATTTATTTTTTTTTTTCTCGACACATCGAAAAATGGGATGTCTAATTCGGCAATTCGTGCGAAAATTCGAACGAAAATTGTCATGACAACTTGTCTGAAAGCTTTGGTGAACAATAATCGAAATTGCGCGCGCAAAACATTAATTCATCTATTATTAGAAAACAATAGAGTCCATTTTTTAAAAATCCTATTAATTCAAATGTCGATACTTTCGTGTACATATATATATATTACTATATTTCTTGCGAAATTTTATTAATATCCGATATTTTTTGGCAACAAACAAAACGAGAACCAATTTTCATTTTCCAAAGTAGGCTAAGAAATTTCGAGACAATTCGTTACGAATTTGCATAGCTCAGCGCATCGCATTTTAATCTCTCTATGCATCTTTATGAAGCTGAAAGATTTAAAAAAAACGTTGATAGAAATTGGAGTGAAATGGAGGAAAAGATTCTTGGCTCGGCCCGGAAGCAGCCGCGACAATTAAAATTGTCCTGACTTAATTAATCGAACGTCCAAGTGCAACGGCCTCGTTCACACAGCGTTGAGCAAGTATTTGAAGAAAAGATTCCCAACTTCAATCAAGTTTTAATGCAATTTCGCGGTTCAAAATTAGATCGAACGATTTCTTTTTGTTAATCAGAATTTCTTGAAGCTTAAAAAATTTCTTGAACAAATCTCCAAAGAGGATCATAAATTTCATCGCGCGAACGAGATTAATTAAACAGGCGAGAACCAATTCCTTGCGAAATTCATCGCCGTCGTCGAGGTTAATCGCAATTAAAAAGCAGTTTTTCTTAAAAAACTTTCAACGACGGTAATCTCGTTCGATATTCTAATCCAAATGAGAGATTAATAAAAAGATGAGAGAAGAATATAATATATATATATATAAACAAAGTATAATTTTCAAAATAAATTAATAATATCGTAATAAATCGTAATAAAATAGGATAATCTCAGATAATTAATTCCAATCCAAATATGCGAGATTGATAACACGAAAGACATTTTATATTATACGAGACGAGAATTAGAGAAGATAAATAAATTCTAATTTTCTAAATTATAACTAATAAAATAGTAGAAGAAGAATAAACTTAAAATTATTGAAGAAATTTCAACAAACGAGCAATATTTTCGCGACATTAATTCGGACGAGAAATGCAAATTGGGAAGGGAAAACGAGGAGGAGAAAAATTGCTGCTTATAATTATGAAAAAAGGAGGGAGGAAGAGGATATGAAGGGATCTTAACATCAAACGTCCTTTCGTTCTTATCTATCGGTGGAGGTGAGGTTTAGCTCGCGGCGCGCCATAAAACAAAAAGAGAGTAGTATATATATATATATAGTCGAAATATATATTTTATATATATATATAAAGGCAAAGTTCGAGGTATTCGGTTTATTCAAGAGAAAAGGGGGTCGCTCCCTCGTCCGCCTCGGCGCTATTGCATTTTCCGCTCGGCGAAATGATGCCCGCGTGCCCGTGGGGAGGTCGGGAAATGATCGCCTCGTGGAACGAAAAAAAAAAAAAAAAAAAAGAAAAAGAAAAAGAAAAAGAAAAAAGAGGAGGAAAAATAGGTGGAAAGGAGAGGGGGGAGGGAGGGCAACGAAAGAGTATAAATAAATTTCGGAAAACGGAAAAATTGCGAAAATCGTTCCAACAGTCGTTAATGGACGAGGAGGGATAATTTCGAGGAGGAGGAAGAGGAGGGTTTTGTTGGAGAAGCGACAACGTCAATTTGCCACTCGTTAACGAAGGATCGTTCTCGTTTGGCCGACAATGAGGGATATGAGAATACGATTGAGGGTAAATAGTGTTGGTTGACTGCGGTTGGGTCGGTTGGATAATGAGCACGCAGTGGTGACGATGCTTTTGCTGATTCCAGAAGAACGTTCGATGCGCTCGTTGACGGATGGAAGAGGCTCTTCTCGCTTGCTTTAATAACGTTAACGAAATCGAACGATGGAGGACTTGAACCTCGACGAGTGAAGTGTGATCGTTTAATCGGGCTAGTGAAATCTTGATCACATTCATATCGAGTATTGGACGATTATTTTGGATATTGTTTCGAAAAAAAGAAAAAAGATTTTACTTACTAAAATTAACGAACGATTGATCGTTGGAAAATTCAATAGAAAAGAATAATAATAATAATTCGAAAAAAGTGATAAACTTGAAAGATATTTGGAAAATAAATTTAATAATACATCGTCGAGTTGATGAAAATAAGGATAAAATTAATGATAGATTGGGAAAATAACGGTGTCGTTAACGGGGTGTCTGATCTAAAAGGCCGTTGCACGTGGACCGGCGCTTCGAGGAGTTGTTCCGGAAAGTTGGAAGCTCTGCTAACTTTACGAGGACGGTTAACGATCGTAAAGTTCGCGCTAGCCGAGGGAAATGGAAAATGCATAAGCCAGTAAATCTTGGCCGACTTTATTTCCAGAGACAGCTGAACGTCCAAGGCTACCAGTGCAGCGCCGATCTGCGTTACGTGTTGTTTAAGCACAATGTCAAGCCGGTGAGTAACGAAAGAATGATTCTCGTAATCTTGGTTAAAATGATTGCATTAAATGGTGAAAAGGAAAAGAGATACGATTCGATCGAAATTTTAACTTTAAAATTATATTGTTCCTTTCTCCTCTTATATTATATAATTGAGCTTTGAAAAGAATTGCAAAATCGGCTCCTCTTTTATTCTTACTCCATTCTATTTAATCATTTACATTTGTATCACAGAAATATAAATATAACGAAACGAGCTCTCGAAATCGATTTAATTTTTTAATATTCGTTGAATTCGTAACGCGACATGTGTATACCACGAAAATTTCTTATTCTATCGCAGCTGACGCGCACGCGATTGGGTCATGAATATTTCCAAATATCCGACTTTTTGTCAACACATGTTCACTACAAGTGTCGTCGTCGTTATGCACAACCATTTTATGCATTTTTCACGATCATTTTTCACTTTTGATTTTTAATTGTCGACAAGAAAATTTTCTCCTTAAAATAACAAAATCCCCATTCATTTTCAGGTGTACAGGAATACCTTCACCGCTTACTACACAGTCTACGACGTCACGAACGAGTAAGCAAGCTTTCCAACCCCTCTTCTCCCGAATTTCACGTAATAATTCCGCTTCTGCTTATCATCTTTCTTCTCCAGCCACCACACGCCTCTCCGTCTGCACACATCGAGGGGGATGCAGCAAACGCGGCTGCAACACGCCGCCTGGTTGGGCAACACGTCCGGCATCCTGATGATATCCGAGAACGACATCTACGTGAGGATAGCGCCCTCGGCGGCAGAGGACGCGAGGATAACCGACACAGGTTTACCCGGGGTGATTTACAACGGGGTGCCGGACTGGTTGTATCAGGAGGAGGTGTTGCCGCGGCCGGAAGCAGCCTGGCCTAGCTCCGACGGCACGCATCTCCTCTTCGCCTCGTTCAACGACACCAAGGTCACTGCCCTGGAATTCCCTTGGTTCAGCACGCAACCGGGTCAGGATGGGCCGAGCTCCAGCCCCCTGTTCACGCCTAGGAGAGGCTCCTTCCCGCCCTCGAGGTCCGTCAGATACCCCACTCCCGGCTCGCCAAATCCCGAGGTCGAATTGTGGATCATGGAGCTCGGCAACTTGACCAACTCGATCAACGGAACAGCGAACTCGACCATCCTCTCCAGGATAAGGTTGAAACCGCCAACCGCTTTGGACGGACAGTAAGTCCCGAAATATCTTGAACAAGTATCTTCTTATTCTGTTAAAAAATTCTTCTCCAACAATTTATATCTCTTGTCTGAAATATATACTTTCTTCCGATTTGATCAGAATCGAGTCGAAAAGCGTCGAATAAAGTTTTAATTTAAACGCAAGATCAGTTGATGTTCCCTCTCTCACAGGGAATATTATCTGATATCCGCGGGTTGGGTGGGCGACGACTCGACCCAGGTTGCCGTCGTCTGGATGACCAGGTCGCAGAATCTCTCGTTGGTGACCGCTTGTCGAGCACCAATGTGGGAGTGCGAGGAGACTCATTCGGAGAGGGCGCCTGAAGGGCAGTGGTTAGACGCGCAGCCTCATCCTCTGTTCGCCCCGGACGGGGACAGCTTTCTACTGCTGGCCGCCGTTCAAGAGGGCGACAAGGAACACTTCACCCACATCAAGCACGTGACGTTGACTCAACAGAGGATAGCAGTGTTGTCTCACGGCCGTTACGAGGTTAGATCGAGAACCAATTTTACGAATTTGCGTTTCCATTACATTATTGTTCCTCGTCTTCCGCGAAGGTGAGTGAAATCTTAGCGTGGGACACCAAGGCCCATTTGGTGTACTATTTGGGCACGAGGGAAAGGAGGCCCGGTCAGAGACATCTTTACATAGTTCGCGATCCCACCGCTGACGATCCTCGACATCTCGAACCGTTGTGCGTCACGTGCGACCTTGGCGAAGTGCTGTGGAGCAGTAGGTGAGCGATCTCTTCACTTATCTCTCGTCGATTATTTGTAACAATTCCTATATAATCCTCCCGTTACAGATTTTATTACACCAATTGCACCCACTTTGGCGCGTCCGTAAGCCCCCCGATGGAGAACGAATCATCCGGCTACTACGTCCTCTACTGCGAAGGTCCGGGTCTCCCTCTGGCCGCTGTACACCTGATCACCACCCACAAGATGATCCGCGTGTTGTACGACACGAGGATCCAAAGAGGGGACAAGCTTTCGCAACTGGCGCTGCCAACTCGAAGAAGCTTCGAGGTTGTTACGCCACGTAATTTTTTCGTCACCGAACCCGTTTCCAATTTTTAAAATCCCTGACTGATTGTTCCCTCGCCTTTAGGTGTCTCTACCCCAAGGATGGAAGGCTCAGGTGCAACTGTTATTGCCACCTTCGTGGCGAGAGGAGCTGAGAGACGCCGCGTTCCCCGTCCTGGTGGAAGTGAACGGTCGGCCAGGTAGCGAGGCGGTGACCGACCGGTTCAAGATCGATTGGGGGACGTACATGTCGAGCCACAACGACGTGGTCTACGTAAGGCTGGACGTGCGCGGAGCAAGAGGCCAAGGGAAGCGCGATCTGTTCAGAAGAATCGGCGGTGTCGAAGTTCAGGATCAGTTGACCGTGTTGAAGCATCTTCTCAAGACTCTCAAGTACCTGGACGTGACCAGGGTGGGTGTGTGGGGTTGGGGATACGGCGGCTACGTGACCGCCATGGTGTTGGGTAGCCAGGAGAACGTGTTCAAGTGTGGCGTCGCTGTGAATCCTATCGCCGATTGGCTCTACTACAGTGAGTTGCCGAAAAACATAATTTCCTTGGACTGTATACTGTATCGAGGTTGTTTACACTGCTGTTTCCCGGATGAGAGTCCCCCCTGATCTTTTCGTGCAGATTCCGCGTTCACGGAGCGAGTCCTTGGCGCTCCCGCAGAGAACTACAAAGGTTACGTGGAGGCTGACCTGACCCAACGCGCCAGGTTGGTGCCCAGTCACAGTCTCTACCTTCTTCACGGTCTAGCCGACCTCACAGCGCCTTATACGCACGGTGTCGCCTTCGCTAAGGCTCTGACCGAAGCGGGTATCATCTTCAGGTACCAGGTACGTGATCCTCTAACCTTCCAGTCTCTTCTATCAGAAATACATATATATATCTATTTGTTCTACGCTTCGTCGATTCTGCTAGATTCTACGCATCTCTGGCGCGTGACCGAGTCGAATCGATAAAGTTCGTAACTTTGAATCGTGTCTAATTGTACAGAGTTACGCGGACGAAGACCACGCCTTGGCAGGCGTGTTGGAACACGCTTATCGTTCCATAGAGGACTTCCTCGCAGAGTGCCTCGCCCTGGACGCGTCCTAGTGCCTCAAGCCGAACGCTCCCTCGTTGTCTCTAGCTCGCCTACTTCTGATACATCCCAGATGGATGTGGATGCTCGTCAAGAAGGCTCTCGTCGTTCAGGATTAGACTGTAGCTCGAATATATAGAAGAAGAAGAAGAAGAAGAAGAAGAGGAAAGTAATAATAATAACCCGGTCCTGGAATGTATAGCGGTGAATCGTATAGCGTGAACGAACCGATTAAAAAGGGAGGGGGGGGGGGAAAAAAATGCTAGTCCCTGAGTCAGAGCCAGGGGATGAGGCGTGAACTTAGCGTTTGTATAATAAGTAAACGTAAACCGTTTAATAAGTAACCGTTGTATATCAGCCACCTGCATCAGCCTGCGGATTCCTCTTTGCTACCGACAAACTTTCACTTTTGCTCTCTCTTTCTCTCTCTCTCTGAAAGCGGACATACAAACATAATTTCTAGTCTACGATCTCCCCTATTATATCCCGATGGCCATCCATCCAGATGGCGCCACTAGCTAGCTATTAATGGCGCGATTCGATCGCGGCCGGACACCATCTTTGCCTCCCCATCCTCGCCTCGACCTCGATCGAGGTCTCGCGAAGAATCGGTGAATAATCGGTGTCGTCGTGCCTCTCGCAAGCTTGCAAGCTCTAACTCATTTTTTATACACAGCGAAACCTTCGAGACACGGCGAAGGTGTCGACATCTCAGCGAATCCGGGCGTATCGAGCTTAGCGCGAGCTTGCAAGTTCGCGTCTCGCGTTTTTTATATCGGCACGTACACGCATGCACACACACGCGCGCATAAATACACACGTGCATTCAGCCATTCTGCTCGAGACATTGGTGCCGTTTGTATATCGCTCCGCTTTCCGAGGATGTCGAGTAGCTTGTGTCGATAAGCTTGCAAGCCCATCCATCAATCGCCTTCTTCATCGAGGACCGCCTCTGCGAACGAGTCGCCTTTAGATCGAATACGGACACATCGTGCAGAGCTTGCAAGCTCGCGCTTCGCGACGTTTCTCCCTCTTCGATTACGCCGCGCATCGGTCTCTACCATGATCCCCCCTTGTCGTGGAAACTCCGGCTATCTCCTGTACCGACGTGACACGCATATACACACACATACACACACACATACACACATTATTTCCTTGGTAGAAACGAACGCCTAGTCTTAAGTTTTGTGTTGTGTACAGCTTCGCGCCTAGTATCATGTAATGATGTTACACGTGAAGGGGAGATAAAAAAGAAAAAAGAAAAAAATAGGAGAAGGAAAAAAGGGGAGGAAAATGATATTTCCCTGGCCCTTCCATCGTTATCCATATATATATTTATATATATATATATATATATACGTACATAAATACACGCACACACCAACACACGAATTCTTTCTACCGTTTGATTCTTCGATATTTGTATATATCCGTGTCTCTTTGAAACGAATTCCCTTGGTGCAGGAAAACGTTCCCCCCCTCGACGAGGTTCGAGCGTGTTTCCCGTTTGTCGTTGATCGTTTGTTGTATTATATATCGCTAAGTTGTACTATAACACAATACAGTTTTCAGATTAAATAACTATTAATTAAGTAAGTTAAGCGCGACGCGAAGCTTTAGGATAACCTCGTTCAGGTTTCACCTCGTATACTTTAGCTCGTTCGAAAGGAAAGGGACCTCGTCGTCGAGGGCAACGTGTATTCCTTTATCGTATTCCTTTCTCTCGATCACAAAAAACATCGATCCTGGGGAGCGGCCTGAAGAGGATCTTAGGAATCCAGAATTCGAAGTAGATCCTAGAAGTATAGATCGTATGGAAAATTTTAGAAGATCGAAGAATCTAAAAAAAAGGAAATGGAAGAATGTTATAACGCGTGGAGGATCGGTCGGTCGATAAACTTCGAGTCGTCGATTGATGATCGATGATCGATGATCTGGAATTCGAGGAAAACTCCTTCAGGCCACTCTAGATCGACGTGGTGGAAGATCGATGTTCGTTCAGACGCGGTTGATGTTGGAGGATAATCGTTCGGGATCGATCGATCTTGCGGGACTCCCGTTTCCACGATATATTCTTCGACCCTTCTCGTCGCACGAAATCGATCCATAGTTAACATAATTGTATCTCTATGTGTCTTTTCAAATTTGTACCGTGAATCGATTCGAACTTGTTCCGAATTATTCCTATCATAACTCTGGATCGAATTCGGGTTATCGAGAAGGTGTGACAAGTTTTTCGATGTTGCTCGTAAGTTCGATCGAAACAGGACAATTTTCGCGGTTGATAAAGAGAGAACTTATAAGAGGAAAAAAAAAAAATAATAATAATAATAATCGAACAAACTATATCGCGCTCGAACGAAGAGAGTCGCACGTCGCCATAAACGCTGCCTGCCAAGCAGCCCTTAAATGCCGACAATCAAGGCTAGTGCAACTAATCAAACGATAATAAATAGAGAAAAAAAAAAAACGGAGAGGATGAAGAAATTTACCTAATAATAATTAATGAATTCTTAGAGATGAGTGATCGATGATGATTCGTCCACGTGATTGATTGGCGTGGCTGAGGACCTCGGCGATGGGTCGAAGGGATTGAATTAGAAGAGATACCCTTCGATCGTGTACGGATAGTAGACGTGGCAAATCGATTAGATCGAAATTACGTGCTTGATGTCGATCGTAGAGAGTACAAAAAAAAGTGAAACCGCGCCCGATCAAGGAATCTTTCCTCGAGAAAGAGTAAATTCGAATCGAGGCGTTTTCCTCGAGAAATGAATTAAATTGGAAATTAATGGAAATTATAGAAGAAAAATTTGATATAAGCAGCCTTTTGTCGATTCAATTTGTTTTGTTTTATATCGATATATATATTAAAACGTGAAAGACTTAGAATCGTAAATAATTGTTCTTGTAAAAATTAAAATAATGTTTCTTACTTTCTCAAGTTTTTCCACTGTGATTTTCATGATAAATGGCATTGAATAAGAATAAAAAGGAAATTGAAATTCTTCTCGAGGGGTTCCTTGGTCGCGCGACAAGGACAGACACGCATTAGTGTTAAACCACATTGTAAAAGTTCATTTTTTCGTGAGTAATCTTCCTTGAAGGGAACGTGAAGGAAGATTGGATGAACGGAAGAAAGAGAGTAGAAGAATGAGTGAGAGTGAGTGAGAGTGTGCAAATCGCAATCAATTATTAACTTATAATAAACGGCAAAAAGTGCGGCGAAAAACATTAAACGTAGGCGTAAGTATCGGTCTCACGAACACGGCAGGCACGCAATAAAAATAAAGAGAAATAATAATACAATTGCAAACGGAACAACTGCAAAACGGACGGTGTAATAATATGGATAAGTGTAAGAAGGAATTGTAGGCATGCGATTGGAACTAAAGTGGAATTAAAGTCGTAAGGAAACTAAAAAAAAAAAATAAATAAAAATGAAAACCTTGGTAGCAGCGCATAAGGGTATCTATAAGCTTTTGGTAACGTATTATCGCCGCTAGGCTAAAGAGAATTAAATTAAAAATAAAAAAAAGAAAAAATATATATATATATTATACAATAAAGAGGAAAAAAAAAATAAATAAATGCGACACACAGAGAAAGAGAAGACACACACGCAGGACATCGTAAATTATTGCAATTGACGCGGAAGACTCGAGTTTAATGTATCGGGCCCGTGCGAAAATTTCGGACGAATTTCAGCGAATTATTTATATCGATTAATGATTCGCATGTCCGACCACGCGAAATCGCCCGTCGACGTTCAACGATTTCGAGATGACGATGGAAAAAAATAGAAAAAAATAAAAATAAAATAAAATAAGAAGAAATCGCGAGCGTTTGTGTTATTCGTAACGGAGAAAATTAATCGATAATAATTAATAAGGCGACTAATTGAAATTATTTGGATAATCTGTGATATCTCAGATTGACGATTATTATTCGAATTAGACGTTGTTTTTTAACGTCTACTCGAACATCGAGGTATTAATAGATAAGATATTATCGATAAACGAAATTTTGTTCGAGTAAAAGGCCCTTCGAACCGAGTCCGAGTCTCTCGACGATAATCGATGTTAATTAAAATAAATGGTAAAAGCGATGCTCAAACGATTTCTTCAGGATTCTTGAAATTGTTGTTACTAAATTGTTATTCTAAATGTATTAGCTAGTTTCTAGTTCGTCGAAAATACGATCTCTTCCTTGTATATTTCTCAATGTTTCTCTCAATTGTGCGATCGTTTTAAAACTCTTTTAAAGACGAACGTTTTTTAAAAAGCATTCCTCGTATGGAATATAATATATCGGAAAACGTGATTAAATTCGAACATGAATTTAACGTTAACGGATTAAGAAAAAATTGAAACGTTATTATTGTATTCACTTAATTTCCTTCGTATATATCTTCTCGTTTACGACAATACCGACTGCGCAACTTTTCACCTAACCTATATTTTTAACTCTTGAATCGATATTCAAATATCAAATTATCCTTTTCATACGATAATTATACCATTAATACCATTCGAATATTTGCATCTTTAACGAACATTTTCAAACTTAAACGAACCTTCAATTCTTATATAAAATATTCGTATGAATTACGAATAAAATATCGTGTTAATTAAACAATCAAATTTAGAGAAACTTATTAACCATAAGGATTATTTTTCCACGATCAATGAAATCGATCGACGAAATTGGCTCACTCTCAAATATACTTCCGATACTCGATATATGTCAAATGTATGTGAAAGGAAGTAATCAATCGTATCGATGTTCGCATTGTTCGACGACCTCGGACCCGGTTAGCCCGGCCTTTACTCAATCACGTTATATTACGTATATCAGACTCCTCGATGCGGACAGCATCTCGAAACTACGTCTGAATGATCAGAGATACGGTTCAATCGATCAGTACACTCGGAAGCGTTGAGTCGAAATATCTGGCCAACGACTCGTTGAATTCGATCGTGCTCCGCGAGTGTGGCCGACGCGATCGGACAATTGTTTTTTATATAATATCCGCTCGGATCATCAAGCGAGCGTTAATTAATCGTTCGAGATAAGAGAAGTGCGTTCTCGATATGTTTCTCGTGGGAGACGAGGGCACGCGGATTGTGTTTCCACACGGTTTTTTACGATATTCGCACGGACCTGGAGACCGAACATCCACGAAATCGGCCAAAGTATATCCACTCTGTTCCCGTAAAACACTGATAACACTGATTCGAACGATCGAATCGGGTTGAAAAGTTAATTTTATTTTTTGTAAAGCTTTTTGTAAATCGTTAAAGTTTAACGTTCAATGTTGAGAAATTTTGGAAATCATAAGTTTTAATAATTCTTCCTAATCTGTCACGATGCGTTGTACATTTTACACAGGGGAAAAATCGTTCAACGTGTTAAAGATTAATTTTTCATTTCAACGCGAATGATAGAATATTTTATAGAAAGTTTCCTTTACGAGTTATTCTATTTTCGAGAACGCCGATTTCGCGGATATCGTTAATAATTCCACGTAAACACCCACGAGATAATCATGTTACTAAGACTCTGCGTTTTTTAATATCAGCGAGACTCGCCCCTGACGGGCAAACAAAAAGTGTTTTCAATAAACTGTTACATTACCTGAAGTCTCTCTCGTGTCGTTCTCTTTTGTTCCTTTCAATTTAGAAACTTACTTTGAATCGATAATCAAATGGACAACGCCGATTAATTTCTTCTTTTTGTTTCTCCAAATGACGTTGACATTTTGAAAAGAAAATCATAAAATATTTTTGCGAAAACTTGCGAAAACAGTTATAGTTCTTGTGTGATCGAAAATTATGTCTTTACGACGGCATCGGAAAAAGAAACGTTCGAGAAAATTGATAAATACGCGACATAATAATAATAATAATATTAACAAACGAGAGGTTCATTCTCATCTTGCAAAGCATAAGTAAAATAATTATAAATATTTTTAAAAAAATATTCAATCGATTTTTCATCATTCGTCGTTTGATATATTTTTAAGAATAAGCGAGCATTTCTACGCGACCAGGTCGAAGAGCGTGCAAAACATTGGCACGAAAGTGGTGTCGAGTCAAACGGTCGTTCTTTCGAAACAATCATCGGACAGCAGTATAGTTTATTTAGGCTCTTTTCGAAAGATTCCCGAATTAATAAATTTAGAAGAGATCAACGAGTTACCAGTTGATGAAAAAGTGCAGTCTTCAAATATCGAGGTAATATTATTTAAATTTATTTAGATTAACAAATTAATGAACAAAACACAAAATTTTCTTACAGATACAATATAACAAAATTGAAAATTCGTTACAATAAATTAATTAAAAATATCTTCTTACAAAGTATTTCCATTTTTTTTTTTTTCACTTTCATCGAAAATATCAAACTATCATGGATAATATATTATTCTTCCACAAAAGGGATACAATTAAACGTAAGTATAAATTTTCGTTATAAATTAATCTGTATTATCTTTCAATATTAAACGTAATCGTTTCCTTTGATCTTGCAAGGCAGATAAGTAGAGACCAGAAATTTTCTCGAGGAAGATACGTTCTCTATCTCCGCCTTTCCCAACTTTCGCATCGCCCCAACTTCTCTTAGAAACGCGTCAGTCATATAAGGCCTGCCTTCGAGGGCTGTCAATTTCGATAAATCGAATTCGGTGAGGGGGGCGGTGTTCACACCCAAAGCGAGCAATTCCGACGGATGTATTCCAAGCCATCGTACGTTCGAACAGGCCAAACTCTCCCTCTCTCTGGATAACGCGGCCGAGCCGAAACTAATTTGCAAAAGGAAATTTTCTATAATATATATCGTAAACATTTTAATTTTTCTTCTTAACGTCGATCTTTTTATTAAAAATTTTTACTTTTTTTAACATTATTGTACATATATAACTTTATAAATATTTATAAATATACACTTTGATGTATGATACATCCTTTTCAATAATTTTTGTTAATAAAAGTATTAATTTATATTTATGAACGAGTAATTTTTATTTCTTTTTTGAGAACAATTATATTAAAATATCATTTATTTAGAAATATCGTAATATCGTTGTAATATCTATCACGAAAATTTGTATTGTTTGATGATTGAATTTACCGGTAAACACACATGATGTCGATGCCGAAAGGATCCGCGTCGACTATTATATAAACCGGAAGTTCCAATTTCTCGGACAACAGTTTGACAAGCATTCTCGTGGCAACATCCGGGTATCCTTTCCCCGTGACCAGGATACAATTCAAAGAAGAGGTACAATCGTCTTCTAATAATTTTTGAAAGACAGCATCCTTCTCAACGATCAACACCAATTTGGCCTTGCTTCGAACGGAAATTACATTGGAGGCTAGGTGAGGGATCAATGCGCCCCCTGCCACGGTGCAATCGATAATTCGATTGTCGGCCAGTGTAAGGGTTAATTCGCCTGCGACCAGTCCCTTCGACGTTGGCAATAAATCTGAACGATCAATTTTTCAAATAGAAAATACATTTGCGAGAAGAGAAATATATATATATATACGAAGAGAAGAGAATGACCATTTTTTTCAAATATCTTTTATGCAATTATTTCTATTATAACGATAAAATTGTGATTTAGAAAAAAATACAGGAGTATTTATGAATTTATGAAATTGAGCAAGTGATGAAATTTGCTACAATTCGAAATTGAATTTTTTTAAAAGAGAAAAGACTCACTGAGCTCCCATGGCGCGCAATTAAGCAAATTAGCAACGTGATGTACCGCTTGGTCCAAGCATCTTTGCTCCGGAACTAAATTCGAGGTCCTCTCGTTTTTCAGGTCGTAATAAAGGGACCGTCTCGTGAGAGTTGTGTTCGTAATTAGCAAACGATGCGCCGTGGCCATCACCGTCATCATTAAAGCAAACTTGTCTTTGCCTCTTTTGCTAGCAAAGTCTTGCGTCACTCTTCTCGTTCCCTTCGTTACGGTTTCTTCGGTGTTTCGTTCAGGTTCTTCTTCGTAAAATTGTGATTCAGGATCGTTCGTTTCAACGTCTGTTTGAGTATAATTTCGTGGTTGGGAATACGAAATTTGAGGTAGACGACCCGAAGATATTTGTTCGATCACTGTTAAAGTTACGTCTTCGATACGTGCTATTAATTGCTTCCTAGATAATGTAAATATGGTAAATATTTTTTTAATTCTTAAAAAGATTTAGGATTAATTGAGATATAATCGATTCAGAATTCCTTCTTTTCACCTTAATTCTGTATTATTTATCACAGGTAAATCGATTTTCTTTTCCTCAATGTTTTCCAATTGATCGATAATGTGAGTGGATATTTCCATTCTCATGTTTCTATTCATTTTTGACATTTTGTCTGTAATAAGTAATTTAATTCTATATTTTGTTATCGATAATAATATGCGAAAAGTTTGAATATTTTTTGAAGAGAAAATAAGAGAATATAATCGTTGCTCATCACTATGAAACTATGTTTCATGAAATGAAACATCCATATAGGGAATAGATACGTAAGTATAGATGCGTATATAAGTATATTTTACAAATATTTCTGTATTTTTATATCGTATATATATATTTTATACTGTATGTATATTTTTCAGAGTGGCCACCTAACTTTAACACGTGGAATATTTCGTTTGGTTTTGATAATATTAAAAAATATTTTAGATAAAATGATTGAATGATTTTGAGAAGAATACATTCTAGTTTTATTAATTTTTCCATAAATGAATGCATAGAGATAATATAAAAGTCAATTTCGTCTTTCTAAATAGGATTATATATTTCTTGATACATAGATGCAATGTATTTC